TGCTGTTTCTGCTTTGATTGTTCAGTGGCTATTTCAGTTTTTTTATGAGAGTTGTGAAGGGAGCCGTATACTCAGTAAACTATTGACTTGACGGCCTTCAGAACGATCTGTGTAGCAGCCTGCACTCGACCATTGAGTCAATAGAATATCAGTAGGACAGTGTTTAAAACTCCTGTATTTGTGTGACACGGGCCACGTTATATTCAGTGCTATTTATTATGTGCACAGGTTTGGAACCGTGAAATATCCCTTGTGTTTAGCAGCAGTGGCTGTTGTTCATGTGAATGCAAAGCAGAGTGCACTTTATGTTTGAGACCATCTGCACATCCCAGTTCTAAACCACAATTTTTTTTTTGTGATGGTGGATGTTGCAATAGATATTATACAACTTATGTGCCAGACTCACCTGCTTGTGTGATGGCAATTCTCTTCAATGCATTTGCCATTTTTGTCAATTTGGAACTTCGAAGAAAGTGTCCTCATGCTCTCACTGTTCGGGACTATTGTCTGCCAAAGACATGTCCTTAGTATTTAGAGACTTTTAAAAGAAGAGGGACTTGCAAAGGCACGGACTAAATACAGTACTCTTGACACTTAGCACCACTGCGCTGCTCTCAAAGATTGTCCACACCGAAGGTGGCATAGCCAAAGCGCTTCCCGCTTTGGTCACGCCATCTCTTCTCTAGGTGGCAAAAGTAGAGAGAAAACAAGGTGGCGAGCAGGATTGCTTGGGTGGTGGATTTTCGCCACCCGCTGGAGCTTGACGCTTTGCCGCAGCCAATCGGAATGCCTTGTAGTGATGGCACCGTGGTGGTAATAATGTATCTTTAAGAGCAGCGTTGCCATGTACGCCTTCTTAGCTGTGCGGACAGCCAAAGGAGGCGTGTTTTCCGAACAGGGTGCGCACCCACTGCCTCGCCGCTTCAAGAAGCCCTCTTTGCCGCTCCACTTTCGCTGTGAAGGAGCCTTTATTTCAATCTTCACAACTCTCTGCGCTAACAACATTGGCCAGAGTGTAATTTGTAAAAATCCGTTCTTATTGTATTGGAATGCTCTGTTGCTGTCATGCTTTCTTGCTAGCTATGACCACTTAGGATTTGTTCCCTGGGGGGGTACATGCACGGGGACAGCCCTGAAAGGCCTTTCATGAAGTTGTGATGAAATTCTCATGGTCTGCACTTGAGTGATTGTGGGCTTGTAAAAGTGAAAAAAAAAAAGAAGCAGGTTATGATGTTCTCAAGACAGCACAATGGCAACATGGCATCCGTTACACCAATTTACCCATGGCATGTAATGCTGTAAAGCACAAGTACACCTCTCGCTGCTGGCATTTGTAAGCACAAAACCTGTACAGATCAAAAAGAAACACCTTAGGTGCATGTTGTCTATAGTTCGGTGTAGCATAAAACTTTCTAGTGTTATTTCAGAAATTATGAGTTTCTACACTAAGCACGTTTTACAGACGATGCCAATATTATTGCCAAATGTGTGTCATTTGTAAACCCTGGGAAGTTTTTTAATGTACAGACACGTCAAACGTTAAAGGGAACTCCTGACTGCACAGCACATTCAGATTTCGCTATCTTACGGAAGCATAGAAGCTTATAAATGCAAGCGGCTCCTGGTGGTTGAAAGTTCTGACTCCTCTTGGCAGGCTAGTTTCGTCCATTCATGTTGTTTTCATAACCACTTGCTGTTAGAGGGCCAGCAATATTTATGGTGCACATTTGAGTGTTCTCTTTAGCAGTAGACAGTACAGAACAGTAGGGCAGTTTGCTGCGGGACGGAACAGTGAGTTGCGTGTTCTACATTCAGATCTAAGTGTTGAATAAGGCAGGATAGTGGTGTGGGAATAATTTGGACTAGCTGTCTTCTCTACAGCAAAAGAGCTTTGTTGTGCATGAGTGGCTGTGTGTGAAAGCAGCCTACATGGAATTACCAGGGTGTTGCTGCGAATCCAGGACCTGGGAGCACAGGCATATGGACTATAGGAGCGTGTGCCAAAATTACAGAATTACAGTCAGTGCTGTTTAGTGTCAAGCTGTTTGTTGTTGAGAGCACTGCAGTGGCAGTGCATTTGCATCGTTGGTGCATCTTGTTTTTCCTGCATCTGTTTATACATGAGTTGCAGTTTGTATAACCAGTTTGTAAGAAGACTGCAAGCATTTGTGCCATGTCCTACTTCTGGCTTACCACAAAAACATTCAAGGCTGAAATGCCAAGTGGTTCATTCAGTAATTATTGTGCTTTTCAGTTCTCAGTGCAGTTTCTACATATTTTAAAGCATGGAATGTGTGTACAGGTTGTGTGCACCTCGCTTGTTGAGTAGTTTTTCAATAAGTTGCCATAAAAAATGTGTCCTTGCTTGTAAGTGCTTGGCTTCCTCGATATTGATGGTAAACCGAAGAGTGAACTTTTGCACTTGACTAGTGCTCATGCTAGAAATAAGGTTATGTCACGTGAGCGTTTCCCAATGCCTCTCACGCAGGGATGGTGCAACTGTCATCGATTCGGAGTCGCATGCGGCAGTGTCGCTTCTGCAGCTACACGGCACTCTACCACTCGCTGCTTCAGCGTCACGAACGCATACACACGGGTGATCGTCCCTTCCAGTGTCCCAACTGCCCCAAGCGCTTTGTGCAGAAGACCCACCTGGAGACCCACCTGCGGCAGCACACGGGAGAGCGGCCACCACCCCTCCTTTGAGGAACCTCCACAGACACTCTCGTTGGAGGGGTGACACGTGCCGCCTTGTGTTCTCTTCTCTAGCTGAACTGTGGGTGCTCCCTGCAAGGTGGCCCTCAGCCTCATCAGGTTGAGCTTGCTGTGTGAATGAGTGAGATTATGTGACGCCTGTGAAACTGTTGTCGCAATCCAGGCATGCTGCTGCAGTGTTCACATTTCTCTGGAATTAAGCATTGTAACGGGCCGCAATGCAAATTGATCATGAAATCTGGCATATGCATTGCATTAAAAATAAGAGTGAATTTAATTTCTGCTGCCTTAGTTGGCAGCTGATGTTGAAATTTGTAGCAAGGAACTGGGGCCCCTTTTCCGATAGTTGACGCCGCTTTGAAGCTTCTTTTTAGTCCTCTCTTGTTTAAAAAAGACCCACTAGCTCGACAAAAACTTGCAGCAGCGACGTCTGTAACTGGCAGATTTCTCTGAGAAAAAGCAAGCACATGTCAAATCCGTATTTTTAAAATAACTGGCCTCTTTTGTATGCCACCAACGCGTTTGTTTGTTGTTATCTCGGGCACAATTACAGTGTGCATAAATGTGAAAAAGTCACAAGGCAATGATGATTTTTCAGCCCATGAAATCGGCATCAGTCTTGTGTGTGCTGTGTAACTTCAATGGTTTATCTGTATGAAAATGCTGTCATCTGATTGAATTCTGTCAGCATTTGCATGTGTTGCTATATCCAGTTTTCATGTGAATTTCGTGGAGATCACTTTGTTCTATTTCAGCGTACTCAAATGTTGCAAGTCAAATGGTGCACACACAGCTCTGCCCTTTCAAGCTTCACTAAAGCCTGTATAATAAATTAGCATGCAAGTAGGGCTGGGTGTGGTCAGCAACAGATAGATACGAAAGCACGTGATTGAATGCCTTTTCAAAATTACAGTATCGTGTGACCACTGCTAGTGTGAGAATGCAGACCATGGAATTAGTTGTATGCAGTTGGGTATGCAAGTAAGTTTAGGCCCCGTCGTGGCCCCTTGACCAGAAACAAACACCAGTAAAAAGGGCAAAAACACACATCATTCGTAATTGTCATGGTCACAGCCAGCAGTCTGCATTGACAGTCGGGCAGTCAAGGCTTCAGCATGGCACTTCAGAAAAGCTAAGGAAAAACGCACCTTGTTGCATAGTGTCAGAACATTTCGCAGAACTCAGAATTGTAATGCATTTCAAAACATTTGCCTAGTTTTTCGGACATTGGGGAAATCATAGCGCTCATATGGGTGCTTCCTCACAGCTGTCTTGATCAAATGACTTTTTCTAAGTATGGTAAGTATAAATTTAAGAGCTTGTTTTGTTTGTTAAACAGAGGATTAAGGAGAAGTAACAGACAATAATGCCACGAAAAGTACAAGGAATGTTATTGGAAGTAATTGTAATGTTAATGTGAACAAAGAGAAATGGATGAAAAGATTACTTGCCACCAGCAGGACCTGCGACCTTTGGATAATACGCCCAATGCTGTCGAGCATGAAAAATGAGGGGGTAGAGGTGCTGGGCTGCACACTGTCAAAAACATCCGCAATGTTGCATGTATTAGTGCAAGATGAACTAATGCTGAATCTTTACTTGAAGCTGGTTCGCCATGACCATTCTGCTACTCAGAGCCGCCCCTGAACTTTCTGTAACACAATGACGAGAATGGTACAGAAGTGCACACATACACAAAGAAAAGGGAGATAAGTATAACCATTTATACAAAAACATAAATGTACATAGAGGGCACACAGGCCAACAGCTACTATTAACTGAGTGACTATGTGCATCTACTTGTTTTGGAGGAGTGAACAAAAAAAAAGGATGAAGATATAAAGTAAATTCACAAGTTACAGAACTAGGGAGTATTGCAAAACTTGAAGAAAAAGATGTGCTGCAATCAAGGGGCCCACTTGTTTCACAGAGGAAAGTTACTGAGCATAGTGAGCCTATGAAACAATTGGACAAACCAACAACATAGCAGAAAAATCATTGCAACTGGGGAAATGTTGAGTTCCTGCAAAACACACGCCGAACATGGCCGAATGTCAAACATTCTTACCATATGAAATGCGTAAACAGGGGTTTCGTCGAGCCAACGTTTCGACGAGTGGACTTGTTTTTCTCAAGGCTTGAACAGAACAGAACATTCTTACTGTCATTTTAGGTGGCAGCATGTGTACTAGATTCGTGGTCATGCATACAAGAGTATGGTCAAGATTTGTGAAAAAAAAAGTGAAATGTCAGAGGTATATCAAGAGCTATGCGTGTCAGCAAATATGCCAAGTAAGTTTACTAAGTAATCGGTATGCTCAAAGAGACACAATGGAAATAATGTGTAAAGGCACTTTCGAATTGTATGTACATAAAAATTTCACCATTTCTTGTTCTCTGCAAGACTTTAGGTTTTCAAAGGTTTTTTTTTTTTTGTTCTTGTACATTCCAACTTGTTTTCAATAAATGCTCACTCTAGTCTAGCATCAGTTTATAATAGAAGAATCAGCTTTATAGCCCCACTGTATATACAAAGCTGCGAATATTGTCGCAGTTGGATCTCTGGATAGAATAGCATGTGGGAAAAGAATGCACAGCCAGCGGTACATGACAGTTCCTTTCAGTGACTACACTTGAAGCTAATACTAATTTATTTTATGGTACTTGCTTCATGAATATTTACACAAGTGACACCTTGATTGGGTGTTATGTGGCTCACTATATAAAGTGCTTGGGGCTCGTATAACATTTAGCCATTTACGCTGTTCTGTTGTTTATTTTCTAATTATGCTCAAGCCTCGATATAACGAAACCCAGATATAACAAAATGTTGGTTATAGTGAAGTAAATGAAAAATAATCTTGCAATCGATGAAGCAGCGGGAATAAACCTTTAAAACTAATTTTTGGGATATAACAAACTTATTTTTGCGTCAGATTCAACATTGTATTAACAAAGTTTGAGTGTATTCACATGAGCACGCTGAAGGGGAGGGAACTGGAAATGCTTTTTTTGTGTGAAATTTGATGTACTTTTGTTTTCTTCACTTTAGGGATGGTGTTACGTAGTCAGCTGATCACAGTGTTCCATGTATTTTTGCACGTACATGTGTTCCCATGTGTGAGAGTGCCATTGATGTGTTTGTAAGCAGTGCGTCTAATGTGAGCAATTTGTAATTCGTAAAATGGGCACATGAACAATTAGAAATGGTGGCATGATACAGTTGGGAACTTCGAATCAGTCTAGACAATTACAAAAGTGAATGAAAGTGGGCTTGTGGGTACTGCATAATGAAAAGAAAAAAAAAACAGTGCTTAAAAGACAGGGACAAGAAAGAACGACACACGACGTGCTCCTTGCAACAATTTTTATTGTGGCCAGGCAATATACAATAAAGCAGCCTCCTGTCACATGTTTAAATCCCATCGTCATGAAACAACGTAATTGATCAGTTTGAAAACAGATGAACTACCATAAACTCACTACGATGAACTAGTTGTTAACAAAATACAAGAAACTAGGTACACGGGAACTTGAAATGCCAGTTTTCTTCTTGTTAAGGGATAACAAAGCGGTGCTGATGCACACAACGCCTGTACTGACTGTTGCGTGAGCTTCAACAACTGCTTTTGTGCTTTTCTTTTTGCCTTGCCGCAGCAAAAATTGTTCCGAGTGGCGCATCATGTGTCGTTCTTTCTTGTCCCCGTACCTTAAGCTCTGTTCATTTTTTCTTTTGTTAGACAACCAGTTATAGTCAGAAAAGCAGAAATGGCATTGTTCGTGTGCCAGCGAATTTCTATATTATGCAACCTTTGCGATATTTCTTCCGGGAGACCGGCACTCTGGCATGAAATTGCAAAATCTATGTTGCAAGAGGTTGTGCTGTTTGGGCATGAAAATCAAGAACACTTTCACTTAACTCTTCTGTCATCTTAAAATAAATTGAAGTGAAGCTTGGCTTACTATCGTAGGCCATGCTTTGGTCAGGCATGGCTATTTTATCAATGCATTTCTCAGGACCAAAAGGACTGCTGACCGTGTTGCTGTCAAGACATGTTTAGAGGGGCATGATAAGAAAGAAAATTGGCTCTACTGATGTGTATATAGCGACAGCCTTCTTTTTTCTGTTGTCCATGTTCCCATGAAACTACCAATGGAGCTTTTCAAAAGCCGTGTCGTCCTCGTAACCTTCTTGCAATTCATCTGGTGCACTGTGGTTGCTCTCACTCTCATATTCTGGAGCATTTAACTCTTAAACTTCTCTGTATGCAATTTTGCTGTTTCACATGTCGGTTAAAAGAGCCCATGCTCATTCATAGCTCACTTCAGGCCGACAATATGGAAATGATGAATGCTGAAAATGATGTTGCTACCTCCCATTTTGCAGGCCACCGATGTCACATTCTTGTTTGTGCAAACTGCGTGCACAGGCAGTCTTGGCTGGTCGCTGTACAGGCTTTGGTCACGTTTGTTCAGTTGTGAGGGAGGCTGAATGAAGCAACGTGCCTGGGATACTTTTGTGGCTGAGTCTAACTCAGGAAATTCATTTACTTAAGCACTGTGCACTATTGTGTTCATTTCACTGTATCCTGCACAGGTAGTGACTGACTAATGTACTTACTGTGTTTCACATACTAATAGTTGTGAGCTCCTGTCCCCAAAGAATTCACACTGCATTCAATAATTAGAAATTCGAGAGTATTGCACTGAACTTTGCAGCGGGTAGTGTGAAATGCAGGCGCACGGTGTTATCTTTGCTGTGGTTTATGATTTCTCCTTGTGTTGAGATCCACTTCTCATGAAGCACTTGTGTTTGTTTTGCTCAGAAGCACGATTTTTCTTCTTGGTTTTGAGTGAAAAACGGCCTAAATTATGACCTGTCATTATTGATGTGTTCAGGCACTTTGTGGTTTTATCTTTAGTTTCATGGTAAAGTGCAATGTCTTCATATTGTTAAAATGCTAACATAGCTTTCATCAGGTGTTAGTTACGCAGTTGTAAAGCACAAGATTAAAATTTTTGTATGAGGTTTAATAAAGTCAAGTCACAGCTTGCCCAATGTTTATGTGTTATAGATAAACGTGAGACACATGAAAGCATTTTTGTGTAGAATCCAATGTTATAGGGCCACTTCACTGTGCAGGCTTAGTGACAAGTGTGCAACATACGGGTTGCTGTTTATTTCTTCGTGGTTGCTAAGCTGTGAACACTTCTGTCGTAGTTGCATTGTGCAGCTAAAGTCATCCCTGTGAACATCATCTTTCAGTGTAAATAAAAGTGCATCCAAGATCCACGTGGCTTCCCTGCGGGATTCTCTGTTGATGAGCTGTCAACAGCCAGAACTGTCACATCACTCGCTCAACACAGGGCAGCCACTTGAGAACAAGTTTGAGTTATCTTGCCCCTAAAGTACCTCTTGTTCTTGGAGGCTTCTCATTCTGGTGATGTTTGTTGCAGCCTCTGCCGATGTGTCTGAGGTGTGAACATGAAACAGCAGTGTGGTCTCTTTCTTGTCAAGATGCCCTCCCCTCCTTTTGTGGTTGTCTGAAGTGTCTGCTGCTTGTTTCATCATCCTCTGTCATAGTTTGTGCTCACTTGCTCTGTCTAGTGGTTGTGCAGTCAGCATTATGTTGCACCCCGTTTTGCCGCTTCTTGTTTTGCTTTGCTGTGTCCATGTTTGTTTGCCTGTCCTGTGTTATTCCCCCATTGGTTGTTCTTTCTTCTGAAAAATCGCCTGTCGTGTTTGGTCTAGTGTGCCATGCATCTCTTTCCTTTTCTCTGCTTGTTCTTGCCGTCTGTTTTAGGCCTTTATAGTTGTGACATGCATGTCCTTTGTCTAATCTTATGTACGGGTCCTTGTTCAATGGTTTTTAAAAGAGACAGGGGGAAGGCAGGACACCAGCCCTCTTCTGTTTGCACGCCTTGTATTTTTCAGAACTAATACGAACCGTATAGTTCAGCTCTCTGCAATTCGACGAATGCAGTGTGAAGTGATAGGTCTACATATATTGAAAAGCATGCAGGTTTTTGTGCATTTACTCATTTGCTTGCGTGAAGCTTTTCAGAACAGTTTGCCCTTTTATTTTGCAAAAATATAGTAGATAGCTTTAGACTACCCCCTCCTCTTTGTGTTTCTCAAAGTATGAGTGAGCATACTAGACTAAAACTGATTAATCATTTAGCAAGTGGCAAGATTATATGAGGCAGCTCTTCTTTTGGCTCTGCAGGAATGTTATCTAAGAAAAGATGAGTGAATTGCACAGTATAATGTACTGTGACGGCATTCAAGTACATGTGTGCTCGGTGTGCAGATTTTGTGTGGCTTGAGGATTAAAATAACGTTTTCAAGTGAATATTTTGATGTCAGTGGCAGTAAGATATGATTGGGCGAAGAGAAGCAATGCACCGTCTATGTGGGCTCAGCAGTGGAAGGTTGCCTCGCTGCCTAGCACTAAGGCCCCTTTAAAGAAGCCTGTTGAGTTCCCTCTTCAAATATATTCACCAAGGCTCTGTGAAGGATTCCAACTTTTATTTTCATGACCAATCACTTTTATCTGAATCTGATGTGACAGTCCTTGGGTCAAAAAAGAGACTACTAAAACTGGTTGCCATCAAAATGTTCATTGCAGATTTCTTTGCATAAAAGTTCTGCGTCACTTAGCCATTTTACTTTGGACTTCCACTGTGGTCCATTCGAAGTGAACTGGTCATGCATGTCTTTTCAAGCCAAATGAGTGAAAGCAATGAAGCAATAGAAGCTTGACTAAGTGAACAAGGTTAAGTAAATACATTGTCAACTTTTGATATAATGTGTATCAATTAGTAATTGGCATTGGCATTATACGGTTGTGAAATTTTTTAATGTGACAAGGAAAAGATACCAGTAAAGATATTATTTTTCTGACAGATTCGAGCCGCTTAACATATGATCTTCTAAGCACTTTTCTAAGGCCTCCGTAATAGGTCTCGTAGTGTCATGCTACTAGTGTGATGGAACAATTCTTCAAAGATATGAATCGTTCAGTGTTTTAATTGTGCAAAAGGAGATTGTGGTTGGATGGCAACTGTTCATTAGGGCAGCCTGTTGGGCGAATTGTTAATCACAGCCAGGGAATGCCAGCAGCATCAGGAGAACGCAGAAGGGATCGAGACTAGAACAGAAAAGAAGCTGGGCTATCAACGGATTTTAATTTCAATGAAAACACGAACTAGCAACAGATGTGAGCATGCATGCACTCGGCAATCTGAAAGGCCCCCTGTCACTATGAGCTAGAATTGTCATAGCGAAATTGAAGTTCTTTGTCAACCAGAAACACGGGTAGTGCACTGACACTCTTATCAGGACTAAGTGTGTGGATTGAAAATGCTTCAATAACTTCACACTGTTTTGGTGTGACGAAAAATTTGTTGAAGTGAGGGATGCAACCACACACCTTGCAGTGAATCGACAGATTTACACCTGTGCCCATTTGGAGTGAAAAATCAATTGTGTAGTCAAAATTGAGTTCAAGTGGAAAATTTTTTCAAATTCATAACGAGAAAAACCCCTCATGAAGATGAAGGATAGGTTTACTAGTGCCTGTCCCAATTTCTCTTTGACCCATTTCTTGACCCCTCATGAAGATGAAGGATAGGTTTACTAGTGCCTGTCCCAATTTCTCTTTGACCCAGTTCTTGTCTTCATGTGTGTTTTTTCATCATGATAGCAAACTGAGCACAGAACGCTGGCGTTTCCAGGCCATGGCAAGGCATGTAGGTTGTGGAATGGGGCAATACAACTACACACCACTGAAAACATGACATCATCCGTTAAGTTTTCCTTTCCGACATTTGCGCACATCACAAAGTGCCTGTTACAGCCCACTACACCTACTGTGGAAAATGAAACATTGTATGGTTGATGTTGTGCAAATGGCAAAGGGAAAAAGGGGATGCTGCTCATACCTAGTATGACATGAAGAAGTTTTATGTCTGTAGCTGAAAGAGCACCAAGTGAATTTGGCACACACATGCGGAGTACACTGTGGCTGTTAATTTATTTTTGAGACTATGCGAGCTTTTCTTTTTTTTTGGGAGGGTAGAACAGTTACCATTGTGAGTAGTTTAAACAAAAAAGGTCTTCTTGTTGCAATTTAGGTCTTTCTGGAGCTTGAGAAGATTAGAAAAAAAGGTGATTGGTAGTAATTAAAAAGTTAGGTTTCATCAAAGAGCTCCATGAACAATGTGAAAGAATCTGTCCGCTCAAATTTAAGGTAGACAGTAAAAGCAGTGAGTGACCATTGATATTGGTAGCACTGCTGTTTTATACGCCGCCTTTGTTTCGTTCAACCTTCCTTAAAATGGCTTAGTATGCTTCAGGCATTGTCACTGTGAGCATAATTTAGAAGTCGCTGCTTTGTCCCGTGATGCACGTTTTAACAGAGAGCTTAAGGCTTGGTGCAGTGCCTTGCTGCATTGCTTTGTAAAGCGCCATTTAATGGTTAAAAGAGAAGGCACCCCGTTGTCTAAGCTCAAATTGGTTAGCACAAATCATCTGATGCAAAAAGGTTGCTCGTGTGTTTATAGCTACCATTGGCTCGTAACGTATTTATAACAATTTCGGGTGCAATGAAGGCATGCCTATGTGTAGGGCAACTTATTTGTAATGCAGTTCAGTCTCAGCACAGTCTTTGTTGCCGTTGCTTTGCTTTCGGTGCCCTGCATGATTGCTGTCGCCTCGTCTCGTGTGCAGGCACTGCGGTGGCAGGCGTCAGGCGTCCGTTCCACGCACAGGGTGAGACGTTCCACTGCGACTGCTGCAAGTACACCACGCGGCACAAGTGGAACATGGTGGTGCACGTGCGCACGCACACGGGGGAGCGGCCCTTCCGGTGCGTGCTCTGCCCCAAGTCGTTCTCGCGCAAGAACGTGCTGGACGAGCACATGCACACACACACCGGCGCCCGTCCCTTCCGCTGCTCCCTCTGCCCCGTGGCGTTTGCGCACAAGAACTCGCTTGTTACGCACCTCAAGCGCCACGTGGGTGAGCGGCCCTTCGCGTGCCCCGAATGTGGTCGGGCATTCACTGGCCGCTTCTCGCTCAATCGACACCTCATGTCGCACGCACTCGCAGAACCTCCACCCTGACCGGTGTAAAGGAAGCCTCAAAGGCACGCTGCTTTATTTTTCTTTTAGATTGCACAATAGAAAAAGCACAACTTTTTGCCTAAAGAAGTCGCTTTGTAAGTGAAAGAAATGACACAATATAGAAAGTGCAGAGATTTGGGGGCACGTTAAAGAACCCCAGGTGGTGGAAATTTCCGGAGCCCTCCACTACGGCATTTCTCATAATGATATGGTGGTTTTGGGACGTTAAACCCCACATACCAACCTAGAAGTGCAGGTGCCGACACTACCTTCATATCAGACCAACTTGCTGCGACGGCGGAGATAACAACTGCATCTATCAGGACCTATAGATAGTTAATTGTCAAAATGTTTAAAATGTGTTTTTCTCACGATGCAATTGCGGGTAACTTCATGAGTTCGTACTTCATGTTTTCAATATGTATTTTTTAACATGTGAGAAGTGCAACTCCTTTAAAATATTGTTTAGAGAAAATTATGAATTTATGTCATTAGTATGGGCTAAGCATTTATAACTGCTCACATTTCAATTTTTCACTCTCATATAAATGTATTATACACACTTTCTTGATAGTTATTTGCATTCTTTAGTTTACGTGTAGTAATATGAGCCAATAATGGCCCATAATTGTGAAACATTAGTGGCCAAAAAAAATCTGTCCAAATAGATATTTTACACATTTTCATGGTACGAAACGATGACTGTGCAACTTAGTATAAAATTGATTATATATTTAAAATCAGCACCAAAACGTAGATAAACAGCAGAAATTTTATACCTAATAAAGAAACTTTTTATTCTAATCATATCTGACTTTAACAGTTCATATAGTACAGCATGAAAAGCCTGGGCTGCTATAATTTTCAAAAACGTGCATGACCATAACACACTTCTTAGATGGCTGGTGGAAGGCGTCTGGCCCCTACGTGTGTGCACTAGTATTGCAGCGAGAAATTTGGGTCATCATGCTTAATGTACGTGCATATACGTATACACAAAAAGTTTTAGAGGGGCGGAAGTGTTCGATTTCCCCCTCCTGGCTACACCACTCATATATGTATGCATCTAGTAAAAAAAAAAGGAGCACACAAAAAATGTAATTGCCCATGGCAGCTTCATTTTCAGCATTTTTCAGCTATCAACTGAAATTGGTAAGTCGCATTGCTTGGTACTTTGGTTCTAAGTGCATTGCACTTCTGTCATGAGGCTTGGCTTGTTACATAGAGTTAATATACAGCCTTCAGAGGAGAAGCTCCCCATAGGGCGCATGCATTAGAACCTATAATGCCTCGGGCGCTGGTGTGATGAAAAGATACTCGGCTTTTGTGTGGTCTGCCTTGCCTCCAGTGCATGCTGCAATCACCCTTGGCATTTTAACTGTTTTGTGGCTCTCTTTTTCCTTGCACTTAGAAACTATCATGTAAGGTTAAGTTGTTGGCTTACAGCAGCAAAAAAAAACACGGTCAATGATGAGACACTACGATTCAGACGACGCACGAGCAAGCCGGTGCTTCAGCCGCACTGTCGACCTCAAATATTGACGCAGTTCAAGAATGGTGGTGCCACTTAGTAAGCAAAGCTCTGAACACTTCTTTCTACGCACAGTAAATTGCATAAATGACCATTGCATTTTTTCTAAAAGTAGTTGATACTAGAAACATGACACAACTTCCATTCGTTTATAATGTGTGAACATGCTTGTTTATCATGTATACTGCGAAAATTTGAGTGTTTTAACCTGCTGTATTTAGCTTTTCCCTGAAGTATTACAATGGAAAGATTGACACTGTTTCACGATGTCAGCACTTTGGTAGTTATAGCTATCCTTACCCAGCTTTTTGTCTGCAGTCTGTTATATTAACTCTACGGCTTGTCATCCATCCCTGCTTCTTGTGTGGTGTGATCACGCCCGGAATAATGTACTTAATAAAGGCGATAACAAGGCTAGCAATGCTCAAAAATAGGTTGACATGAATCAACAATTTACAAACTAATATAGCAGAAATATCCAAGAAGTATTTGGAATAATTAATTAAAAAACTTGCGGCTGACTTCGGGGTTGAGTAAGAGAGGGCGTAGCCGCATTGGTACATCTGACAAAGGAGAAACGACCTAACAGGACTCGCTGCTGACAACATTTGTTGCAACAAGCAGCAAAGTCAACAATCAAGGGCTGCAAAAAGTGGTGCACGTGTCGCACGCTGAGTCTGCCAATCTGCCTAACAAGGTAATGCTGGGGAAGCCCTGCACGTTTGTCTCAAACATTGGCATCGTTCAGAGTTCGGTAAATCAAGCAGTGCGTGCTGTATGTGAACAGGAATTGCCAGACGCCTATGCTATGCACTTCCTCGGGTTTCGCAGTAGCAGTGATGCCATACATATTTCAAGATTTGTTGTGTTCAGGAACTTAAAATACAAATTTAAACTGTGCGAAGAGGACTACACGTGTACAGTACGTGCGCAGTTCTCTGTGGGTGCATGCATTCTATGTTTCTAACATGCTGTCTTCTTCACGTTGCTCAAACATGTCTTCAAAATCAATGAATTGACTGGCACAACGGCGTGCATTACTTCAGGAGTTTCACCATATTTCAGTGATGGGATATATTTAACTTAGCTAACTTTGTGGCCGCCATGATGTTCGAAGCATAGAGAGCGTCACACTGCTCATGACTTGTAGCAAGCTCTGCCAGTTTGACTCTTTAGTTGAAACCAAGAAAGGTTCACATTAATTATGGCTCAGAAGACAAATCATGACAGATTTCATCACTGGTATAGTAGGACAAACAATAAAAGTTTGTATGATGGCACTCTGGGAGTTATCATTTGGCAAAGTGTTAATAAATAAGGGTGCAGCTCTTAAGTGCCTATTTCATGGCATTATTGGTATTGTTGACAGAAGTGCAACTGAGTGAAATATTGCTGCCAAGAGGACTCTGCCATTCCTGGCCATAAAGTTATTGTCACATTCGAGTGTCCCTGATGTTCTCTAGCTTGTATTCCCCAAAATCAAAACGCCTGAAAAGCTGTGCTCAAATGTCGCCTTACAAAGTGTCATAATCATGGGGGACATTTTCTGTTGGCCATTGTCTCTTGTAGTATAGTATAATGTAGTCATTGAGCATCATTGTGCAAGTGTTCAAATAACTGGGGGTGCTCCTTTTAAGGAGCTAGTGCTTTTATTTCACTAAGAAGCACCATTCACCATACTCGTGTGAAATTATATTTTCTTTTTGTCATTTAACTTATACTGTTATTTCCTGTGGTGAACGGTGCTTGCTGACCATGTTTGTTGAGCACTTACTTGTTAGCTTTTCCATGGAAATTTACTCTAAAGCTGTATATATCAGCATTCTTCAGTGTGAATGTAAGTATGGAGGCCTGAATTCTCAACTGAGCATTTACTGTAAAGGTGCTTTTAACATAACACTGGCAGGATTTGTCTCAGATTTGTCTCTACTTTGTGGGATGCTTGTAGCACTTGATTATACTCATAGTTACATCTATTTTTTCTGTTGCATCATGTATTCATGCCACTGATGTGCTTATGAAACTGTATTTTACTGTCGTGAATTTCTGATAATAAAGCTTGGTTAACCACTTAGGTGTCAGCAAACACATGCGTCTCACTTTGCCTGCATGAAAATCTTGCTCTTCATCGCCTGTCGCTATTAGCACCCTGCAATGTTGCTGGTATCTTACCCAAGTCCCAAAAGAAAAATCTCGCCATGGAAAGAGGGGGTAGTGCTAGATTGCTGTTGAAATTGTTTTCTATGTTTTGGAAAGCTTCTAAACTTGATTCTCACTCAGATAAAAAGATTGGTAATTCCAATTTCCTGATAAACTTCTCTTTTTCTGGTTTTCTGAAAGGTTTATACTAACTACCAGTCCCTTCATTAACTTGCGCAGTAACCAGACGGATAAATACAGCGAAACACTATCCTCTGCAAAATTATCACAGTGCCTAATTGTGCATTGAAATATATTGCTTGATGGCATATACTATCTGCACTGGAAAGCTATTCTACAATGTGATAATATATACCTCATGAAAAAAGTGTACGAGCATATTCAAGGACGGCATCAGCACTTCGCAATTTTAACAGCAAAAATTAGAAAAACTAAATTGCCGAAATAGTTGGTGCATGCGGTCAAGTGAGCTTTAGAGGACAGACACCAGCACTGTGAAGGTTCATGATGGGCGAATCTGCTGTCGCTCAATGAGGCGAAGATGTCTCTCTACACTGTTTGAGAATAAAGCCCCTTGATCTTGAGAAAATACCGCCATTCACTGTACTCGCCACCACGCTCTCTCCCTCCTCACCCCCCTTCGCGTCCTCCCGGTCTCCGACACTTTTTCTGCACGATGATTGGTCTCCTTCGCGGCCGGATTTCGCGCTTTGCTTGTGTTCTTATTTTTTGCTCGTGCCATTTTTCACCGACGCTCCGCGTAACGAACGTAGCGCATTTTCTTTTCTGTGCTTTGTGTGGGCGCTACGCAGTGCTGTTGCGCCTATGACTGCAACAACCACAGTGAAAATAATTACGCACTTTTTATTATACCCCAGGCTAAAAGAGATGGCTTGCACAAGCAGCAGTGGCTGCACAACATCGGCCGAAGAAACTTCGATTGAAGAACAGTTTTATTTCATTGTGAGCTAAGACACTTTTCTTATTGCCCGTATCAAAGAATCGCCGAATGCTAGATCCGTTTGAAATATTGTTTGGGCCTGCTCATCAACATACATGTCTTTTAGGTGCGAAGCTCCTTACCCCGTGGGTCGTATGTCCTGCATCGTCGTAGTAGTCAATTGGGAGGAAGCCTCCATCGTCTGTTCATGCTTCCGTGCATCCGTGCCTCCGTCCGTCCATGCGTCTGTCTGTCCGCACGCTTCACTTCACTCGTCATCATGTGCCTCGTGGATATGCTGTGACTTTTTTCTTAGCTATTTGTGAGTTGCTTCAAACTGGAATTGTCATCAATATGCTGAATTCCTTT